TAAATATTTCAGTTTTTTTTTAAATTTTGAGAAGTTACTTGAGTTCTTATAACAGACAAATGCCTAACATATAATATTTAGGTCATGTTAAACAGCTAAAAACTCAAACTGCTGTTGCAATTTTTCGTATTCTTTAGTCTGTATTAGAGCAATTAGAACAGCTATCCAGAATAGGGTCAAATCAGACTCCCCGCCCTGGTGTTGAGGTGCTTTGTTTCTGGAAATTTGGGGCACAACCTTAGAGCGTATGGAGGGCCAGGAGTGACAAAATGAATCAATTAAATATTTCATTAATTAATTAAAAGTGGAATTAATTAATTGAATCAATATTTCAATAATTACTTAAAAGCACATTTATTTTGTTTAAAATGTTTAGTAAATTCTTTTTTTATTTATTCTATTAAAATTTTATTTTAATTAATTACACATTTAATTAATTATTGACATAGTTAATTAATCATTTATATGTTTGAAATTGTAATCAACCAATGAAACATTTAATTAATTATTTTATGGCATATAAATTAATTAATTCTGTCACTACTGGCCCACCATAAATGGAGAGGAGCTACAGACAATATGAAACAAAGATTAATTTGAACTATGAAGCAAATGTGATGGAGAGAGAGAATGAGGAAAACAGTGGACAGATATATGAATTTCAGAGCTGTTTATCACAATATCAGTTACACCAGATCACACATTTGTAGTACTATCACTTAACAGCCATAATGAAATGATAGTGGCAAGACTGGAGGGTTTTAGACAATACCTTTGGGTCTGATATCAATGAGAGGAGATAAGCGGTAAAATATCAAGGCAGAATTGTACACATTTGCAAACGTACGTGTGAGGTACAACAAATATCAGCACTAAAAGGTAGCAGGAGATTGTAGATGGTATTTAGATAACAGGGGTGAAGATTAATTGTCTGGGAAAACTGAAAATATCACAAGTGGAGAACACAAAGGCATCTTGGAAAACACTTACCTTTAACCAGGTAACAAAGGTTGTCAGGACAGCATGAGTGGAACCTGGCAAATCCAAACAAATCCAGACAAAGTCCAGAACAAAAACCTAGGAACAACATGGAAAATGACTTAAGAAGTCAGGAGAACATACACGGGACTTACAAAAGATCTGAACAGATAGACAGACAGTAGACAACAACAAAAAGAAATCACTGTCAATAAACTTTCTCACCTTTTCCAAACACGGCCTCACTCCCTCTACTGATGGAGCACTTGCTGTGGTCTCTCCCACACCACTTATTACATCTCAATATGCTGAAAATAAAGATGCAAACATGTAAAAGCATTTACCCACATCCTGATTTTACCCGAGATTGTGAGGAAATGACTTCCCAGATACATTATGAACATTTATATATTGCAATTACTGCTGTTTTCAAGTCGCTTTACATAAATATCTCAAACACACAGCATGAACATCAGCCTTGAGTGGTTGTTGTGAATTCAAATACTTTTACATTTTAATGTATCATAAATGCTCTTCAATGGTTGTTTGGATGGTTACAGGAAGTTCTGTTATCCTCTTAAAAAAATGCAAGATGTCTGTTTGTTTGAGCTAACTTTTGAAATTCTACTGCTACTGCTACTACTAATACTAATATTAATAATAATTCAGAATTAAGTAGCACAGTTTTTCCAAACACCCTAGTTTGTTTTGTTTTTTTTATATATATTTTTTTAGATGGTTACATTATTTTACTTTGTACACAGAGCTACACAGTTTTTCACAAAAAAAAACAAAAACCATGGTTAAAATTATGAACCCCCCACCTGACCTCCTGAAGTAATTTGTTGTAGTTTTCTACAAGTCTCACACACGTCTGCTCAACATTCCCAGCCCATTTTTCTCTGGCAAACCTCCCAAGCTCCCCAGACTTGATGGTCTTCTGGCTCTGATCTTGGTCTTAGTTTACCCCACAGATTGTCAGTGGGATTTAACTCAGGGTTTTGTGCAGGCCAGTCAGTAACAATCACTTTGGACTTCTAGATTTAAACGTACCTCCATATAAAATGTGAAAGTGTGATTAGGTGGAGGGGAAATGTCCTTCCCAGTTACTGTATTTAAATATATCGGAGGAGCATAGCAATCTACACAAATTGTAGAATCGCTCCTATATATATTGAACACATTAGTTTTACATTTAGCAGAATGCATCGGTTGGTAGGAATTTGTAACTTCACAGTATTTTATGTATATTTATGAATACAGAATCATTTTCTATTAAAGTAAAATAAAATAAAAATTACTGGCTGCACGTTTAAATTATAATTTATTGCAAGTGTAGCACTTCTAAGAACATATTAAGTTACCAGCTTATTTGTTGGAATATAAAGAAAATATAGTTCCTGTTGTAAATCCTGCATTTACAGACACTTCATGTTTTAGCATGATGAAATCAAACTCCTGTCATCTGGTTCTAAAAACATATACAGTAACATAACACTGTTGAAATAAAAGCTTCTTTTCTTCTCATTTCTTGGTATGTCTTTGTGTATTTATTACACAACCAACAGATCTGTGTGCCTCATTAGACACACAGAAGATACTCCCATGTTAAAAATGTCCAACTTAAGGTATAAAATTAACTTGTTTAAAGACAAGTACAAAAGTTTTGATCAATAAAACACCTTTAGGGCAACTAAAAAGATCCAAAGTTTAAATTTGGTGCTGTGCTGCTTTGCTTGACAACTGTGCAAAATCAACTAGCTCTCGTTGGTGCCTTCACGTGCACTGAGCTGTATCTGTATCTATTTTCCACAGTCTTTTGATCCTTTTTTGAAGTTTCATTGAATGATGTCAAAACAAATAAATGTGCAATAAACTTGCATCTGAAAAATGTTAATAAGGGAGATAACACTAGCTTGTGGAGCATACTGATTTTTTACTCAGTACAAGTCACTCTTTGGGAACACATCAGCTAGATTAGTTCCATATAGTACTGTGCAAAACGCTTAAGTGATCTCTCGTTACTTTATATTTTCTTATATTCCCTCCAGGGGTATAGGCTGTCTTGTGATTTTCCAAACATTCTTGAGCAATAGTTCTCCGGGCTTTCTGAAGGATTAAAAAATATCTCCATCCACATGTAAACGCAAAGACACAGGTGTTTTTTTAAAATGTTTTTTTTTTTAAATTTCTGTTTTCAGTGATCCAAAACAGTGTTTACGTGTGGACGAAGGCCCTAAACGCATAGAAAAAGCTGGGTTTTCAAAAATGGACGTAGCCTTAGTGATAATGTCCACAAAAAAAAGGAGGAAAGTATATTGTTTTTTTTTGTTTTCTTTTTGTTCTTATGAGAGAATTGAACCCTAAGCTGCGTAAAGCTGACACTAAAGTGCATGCATTTATGTTCTGGTGTCAATACACGCTGAACATGAAAATTACCAGTAGAAGACAAATTTAGTTATTATGTTAATAATATGAACGTTTTCAGTTTTATAGCTGAAGAAGCCTCTTAGATAAAGTGTGAAACATCTTCAGGAAATTTCTTTCCAAGCTTTTCGGACTACCATGACTGGGATGATTGAAAACCTACACTGTCAGTAACTTTCTCAGCTTTTCCAGTCACTCCCTATGCTGATGGAACACTTGTTGTGGTCTCTCTCAAACCACTTCTAAAGTCTCGATATGCTAAAATTAAGATGCAAACATGTAAAAGCATTTACCCACATCCTGATTTTACCCGAGCCAGTGCAGTAAATGATTTCCTAGATATTGTGTTGTTTTACATCAACATCTAACACAAACAATGAACATGAGTCTTGTATTTGTCGATGGTCAAATGCTTTAGCATCTTAATGTGTCATATGTTTGGATTCTTCCAAAAAACCTGTTTTTTTATATCAAGTTACTTCTTATAAAGTGCAAGAAGTCAGTGTCCATTTGTTGCCTAAGCTTGTTATCTGTCATATCATTTTGAAACAATAATATTAATAATAAAAATCAATTCACATTTTATACGTTCTATTGCATCACTAAACTTCCACCGTCCCCTGTAGTAGTTTAGTAAGTATTTTCAAAGAGCTCTAGTTTCATCCTATCTGCCCAAAGCACATGCTTCCAGTATGCTTAATATAAAGGCTGTCCTTAGCTGGGTTTAGTGATGATCTTCTCTGAAACTACAGTTCCCAAGATGGTTAAGTCACTCACTAGTGCCTTGGCAGTTGTTCTGGGTTTTTTTTTAGATACTTCTAACTAGTTTTCTTTCCAGTCTTTAAAATATTTTGACTTCCTACCTTTGCCAGGCTTCTTTTGTACTGTGTGCCTCTCTTTGAATTTCTTGATGATTCTTCTCATTCCTGTTCTTGACACTTGGAAATGCTGTGTAACTTTTTACAGTATATCCATCTACTGCTTTGTGAGCATCAATAGTTATTTTTAAACTGATTTCTTTTGTTGTCAGCTTGATGCATCCTCAAAACAGTTTTTTGCTGTTTTATACTAATTGTAAACTGGAAGATAATCCTCAAGTTTAACTTGATTTTACAAGCTTTGAGCATTACGAAGTTAAAGCACATAATTGCACAGCAGTGGTTTGCCACTTTTTCAGGGGGCTAGTAATACTGACCCTGTTTTTTTGTTTTCTTTTTCTTTTTTTAAATAGGGACTAACAATTTTGGTCTCATTTGCATATAAATTGAGACAAACCAAATTTTATGATTTAACTTTTGTTTTTATACAAAATTGTCTTCATATTATATTTTCAAACCTGTGATTTGTCAGACTTTTGGCCCCACTGTGACACTTATGTATGTGTGATACATGATGCAATGCTGGTCACAAGCTTTTTAACTGTAGCATTTAAGATTTTCACTTAGTTTAATTGCTCTGTCTATTGCCTAAGACACTGGTCTTAGGATTGATATTGGGATAAAACCATGATTGGTCTTTATATTTGCCCTGCCCCCTTCTAGGCCATTACATTAATAGAGCAGGAATCATCTCCTGCCCACAGAGAGAGCGATGATCATCACTGATCTTTCAAAGCCACAATGATTACAGGTTTCTTCTTCCTGCTCTTCTTCATGGGTAAGTGCATTTAATTTTTGAATTTTTAAAAATTCATACAGGCAATAATTTCTGCTGCTTTACCATTTAAGCCTTTTTTTCTGGTTAAGAAGAAAAGATGATTGCAACATGTATATTATGTGCTGCCATCACTCAGGGTACTATCTCTCGTGGGCACAAGGGATTATAAATTGAATTATAAAATCTTGCTCTGCTTCCAACACAATACAAATATGCGTATTTCAGAAATGTGATGCAATGTTCATTTTTACAATTAAATTGTAAAAATGAAAGATAAGGAGAAACCAGAAAGCAGAGCATTACAAGTTTTGGATATAATAAAAGAAACGTTCTTGCTCTAGAAAAGTTTATTAAGATTGGTCATCTATGTACCTGCAAATCTTTGTAGTGTATGTGTGTGTGTTTTGTGTCCAAGATTTAGCCATTTACCTGATTTTGATATTTGTAAAGATTTAGTATTATACACTTTGTATATAAAAAGCAATATCTGTTTCCTGCCTACAAAATTGTGGTTTCTACAGCCCTCTAAATCTGCTGTGGATGATTGGACATCCAAATACTAATTCCTAATGACAACTACAGACAGAGATTAAGTTATGCTTAATTCCTATTAAGAGGTATTCAAGAGAAAAAAAAAGAAGTGTTCAGGAAATTCTGCAGTGGTCAGAGGGGAATGATCATTCTTTCTTGCATTTTGTAAAGTTAAGAATGAATTACCCTCCTGCCTCCATTTCTTTATATTGATCATAAATGATGTGCAGAGAATTCAAGTGCACTTACATGGAATTATTTTTATTTCATAACTATTGCGGCCCTAGCAGGCCCTCCTCCTGAAATTGACCTTATGTGGGTGTCTTCTGCCATATCTCCTGCCTTAGGAGCCAGCTTTTTTGTACAGCTGACTCCCATCAGCAATTAAGAATACTTAAGGCCAGAGAAAAGTGAGCTCTAGTGCCAGAAAGCCTTGTTGGGTTGCAGCTAGTGAGCGATGTGTGTGGTGGTTAATTGCTCCTTCTGTGCAGAGAGGAGTGTATTTGGGTATCGACCCTTTTTGGCTTATTTTCAGTTTATCAACAGTTTTGTTGTTTTCTTTCTTTTATTAATAGAAACATTAATAAAACGTGTTAATTTAACCATTTTACCTCCCTGTCTCCTTTTTTCAACCTGGAAACCTTTTGTTACTTTCCCTCATCCCCTGGAGCTTTTTAGGGGAACAATAACTTGCGAGCAAAAACACAACAGTATGTGCTGTAACATGTCCTTGCTGGAGATTGAGCAACTTTTTGTTGGCAGGTTTAAATTTTGCTGTTTAAATGTTTTATTTTTTAAATCCCAAAAGCTACAGTATATACTACAGGGACAGCAGTGCAGAGGCTTCAGAACTTGCATTAGAATCCTTTGATTTAAACAGTTTCTTCAGCAGTAATGTAATCCAGTGATTGTTGTCAGGATTTCTACTGTTACACAGCAAACAATAATTGTTAATTATTAATTTGGCAATCTTTTTTTCCAAATTAAGACAACACTGCTGCAGTGTAACTCAGTTTAATGATGTAGCCTGAAGTGTCTTTCAAAGTGACCAATAACATCAGTAACCCGTCCTCCTTTGGGCTCCGCCCCCCAAACTTTCAAAAGTTGATTCTCTCTGGATTATGTTTTTCCTCATGCTTAGGTTATGATATAAAAATTATTCAATAGGTTTGCACTAAACTACATTCTTCAAAAGCACTATCAAAACTGCATTTTAAATTGTGCCCAACATGATTTTACTATGTTGTTTCGTGCATCTAAAATAACAAGTCATGAAAAATATCTTCAGCACCAAAGCAGCAATTATAAATAGAAAAAAACTGAAATGAAATGTTTGGCACATTGAAATTAGTTTTCATCCTGTCCCATCATATTTTAATTTCTCACTGAAGTGATCATTCGCTGAAAAAAGGAATGTTTCCTTTCCTTCATAAAGAATCTTTTATCCCAACCAAGCATCGGGCCCTTTATTACTGTTAATAATACTGATTACTAAGCATTGATACACCTATAAATCTTTATCTCATGAAGATAAAATAAGACAGAATAGCTACACATGTTAAATGTCATATTACACTTGAAATTAAAAAACACTTACACTGAGTGTTTTTGCTTGTAATAAGAATGAAATCTGTGAGAGGAACAGCTAAAAATTGTTCGAGAATGTTTTAATTGTATGCATTTGTCAAAACACAACTAGTCCCTTATCAAATCATTATATCATACTACAGCAAATCTTTATGAGATAATCAGACTAAACATTAAATGTATATGACAGTTTTTTTGTTTGTTTGTTTGTCTTTTTCTACACATAATGCTGAGGTAGACTGTCCCTAGGTTGATTCAGTGTCACCAAGTGTTTGCTCACAGGCGGTCACCTGATTGTTGCGGTTTTCTCTATATTATTGTAGGGTCATTATTTAAAGTCCATTGAGGTGAATGTTGTTCTGTGATTTGGTGCTATATAAATAAAACTGAATTGAATGTACTTTTTTCTGTCAGGGGGAAATGCCTCCAGCGTAGAGCTGCAAGATGACCAACAGACACTCAATGAGACTATTACCAGAGGTAATGAAAAAACACTTCAAAACTTATTTAATAAAAAAAACAAAAATATGCAGCACCTGGAACACAAAAATGTGAAAATGGACAGGTACATAAATCAACAATCTTTATGTGGTGTGCGTGCGTTCATGTTAATGTGTGTGAGAGAGAGAGAGGTGGAGAGAGTGACAAGTGGGGAGTGTGTATGTGTGTGTGTCACAAAATGTACTTGAAAATAAAGGTGGGAATCCAAAATAATGGCTCCCAGGAGCCAGAGGCAGACAGAGATTGATCAAGGGGAACTGGATCATCTGCAGTCCACAAGAGTACTGAAAACCTCACCTTTAATGGCAGATAAGTTAGATAGTTACAGTTAGGTGGTCCATTTCCTACTCTGGCTCTGCTTGCTGGACATCCCGGATGAGTGACTTAATCTCCTGGGTGAGGGATCGGATTACACATGAGGGAAGCAAAATGGTCTCTTCCTTCACAGACTCATCGAAAGAAAATTTTCAAGACAAAGTATTAGGCTTCACATTGAGAGAACCTGGTTTATAGGTTATTAAAACCTATAAAACCTGCTATCTAAAACCTGCCGGTGTCCTGCAGGTTTTAGATATCACCCTGGGTCAACACACCTGAATCAAATGATTAGTTCATTACCTCTCTGGAGAACTTCAAGACATGTTGAGGAGGTAATTTAGCCATTTGAATCAGCTGTGTTGGATCAAGGACACATCTAAAACCTGCAGGACACCGTCCTTTGAGGCCTGGAGTTGCCCACCCCTGGGTTATGGTAAAGCTAAACTGAGTAAAAAATGAGAGCCCAGGATGGTTCCTCAGGATGAACCAGGATCATAGTAGAAGCGAAGCATTGTTTCAGGGCGTCAAAGCTTTGTCAAAACGAGTTATCCCAGTGGAAGGCAACCTTGAGGAGCTAAGTGGGTGAACAGCAAGGCAATCTCGCAAAAATCCAAATACTCACCAATAATAAATCGTTGGTAAAAAGGAGCAAAGCCCAAAAAGTGTTGAAGTTGTTTGCTTTTGAGAGGAACTCACTCAACCAATGGTTGGACCTTGGCTGGCTCTGCCCTTAATTGACCCTTCTTATTCATGAAACCCACAAAGGAAAACAGATTGGACATGAAACTTGCACTTCTTACTAGAGATGGACCGATACCGATAAGTAATATCGGATCGGTCCAACTCTACTTCTTACATTTTACATATGTCATCATTTATTGTGCCCGCCAGTATCTCTAAAGTTACTGCTGGGCTTAACCTGCTGGCACACGAGGCAGTTCGACAAAACTTCATCTCATTCCACAGTAGAAACACTCATCAGAAGTTAGGTATCTGTCTCTTCCCAATGGACAGACGAGCCTAACCGAGCTGCATGATGGTTTGCTCGCCGCTCTCTTCTGACTCACTCTCTCAGGGATGGAAAACTTCATGGAGGACTCCCAAAAAGTTGATTATGTTTATTTGGATGTAGCGTTTTCAAGTTTCATCACTTATCCAAATGACTTCTTTAGTCTCAGCTAAATGCAGTTTTCCTCAACCTTTTAAACAGTACATCTGCATAATGACTGAAACTAACACCATGGGCCAACAATGAATTGTGAGGTCAATTTCTTGGTCATTAATATGAAAATGTTCATGACATTGATCAACAACCACTGATCAAAGACAATTGATCAGCACCATTCACAGACTTGAGAAATGGCTGCAATAACAGCATTGTAAGATGGTGAAAGATGTACCCTTATGCCTCCTCTTCGATTCAGAGATGGTCTTTCCCTTTTTACAGAAAGCCTCCTTGAATCCTGGGCTGAACTCACTTTATTAGCTGATAAGACGCTGTGTTAGGGTTGGATCCTTTGTCAAAAACATGTCTTGGTCTTAAACTTGCTAAACTCCTCAAAAGACTGTTCAAGGTTAGCTTTTAACACTACAAAACCTAACACCTGTGCCCACTTCAAAGCTCATCCTTATAACACAATCATAAAAGTTTTCTAAGGTGCTTGGAAAGAAAAGCTACTGAAATTCTGTAAGATTCTTGAAGGTGGTTCACCTTTCATCCGAGAAGCTTCTTTAATTCTAAAACCAAATGGTGGAGAGTCCCAGGTCTGTTGTGGGAGTTCTCCCTTAAGATCATTTACCCATTATTGATCATGCGTCTCATTACATGAGCCAAGGTGTGAAAAAGGAAAATGAGTAAAGTCAAGGGTTGAAGTGAGATCTGGCATGCGGGGAAAACCTTAAGGCCATGTCCATCTTTTTCTCTCTTTTTTGGCTTTCCTTCCTCGCTGAGACGGCGTTTTCGTTAAGGAAAACGCTCTCCAAAGCGTATACATTTGAAAATGCCATAGGGTGGGCATGATTAAATTATGGTTGCCGGCTGTGACAACCAGCCTCTCCTGACACTACACCCTGCCACAGTGACCGACTGAGAATCACTTTAATAAAAATTAAAGCTCAGTATTATACAGACACAAAAACATTCCCCATAATATATTCATATCCATATATACCATAATATCCGAATCATATCTCACATATGCAAAATCAATTAAAAAAAAAAATCATGATTAATGAAAAAATGTTTTAGGAAGTTATTTGCTCTTGGCTGCCGTAAGTTGGTGCTTAGTTAACTTAAGCTTTGTGACGGCTCTGATCCCAACCGTAAAAAAAATGACTTGCTTCCTTTCTTATTTTCCAGTTTGTACATTCCTGATTCCTCTTCAACTCCTCTCCTCACATCTCAAGTCCTTGTATACAAAATAAAAGTCACAAGAAGGGAGAAATTGAAGCAATTAAAAATGAGGCTCTGAAGCAAGCATTTCTAATTTTGTTAAAGTGATGTTGGTTAATTAATTGACAATTGGCACAACTTGCACTGAGCACATGTCATAGATGTAAAGAGTCAGGAGGCCTTCATTTGACCATTGGAATCACTCAAGGAGTTCATGTAATGTGCATGAAGTCTCTTCCTGACAGTTCAGAAACACATGCACATGATGCTGTAGCCTGCTGGAGGTAATTTTGTAGGTTTTTTTTAGGGCTGTTCCTGGTTGTATTTGAAATAGATTCACAATGGTTATGCCTCCTAACCATATAGACTGAGATCCCTGAATTTCAAAAAAATGTTGTTTTATACTGTGGCATGTGAAACCCCCAGCAGCATAGACTTATAGCAGCATAACGTTGGAAGGACTTAGGGTCACCTAATCCAGAAAGGATGTTTATGAGCGTTTCTTTCTTTATTATATGTTTATACACCGCTGTGCATTTATTGATGGCAGTGTGTCTTTTGTCTTGTCTTCCTTCCGTCACCCCTAACCTGTTGTGACAGGGAAAAGGGAATGTCCACACACATGTTCCACTTCTCCAAAACCACTCTCCTCTTCAGTCACTCATGTCTCCGCACGCTTTGCCACTCAGTTGCTCCTGGGAACAATCACACAGGGTTACAGGAGCAGGTCCAGGGAAAATCTATTTACAAAGAAACACAATCAGAAACTGACTTGTAAACACACAGTTTTAGATACTGCTTGACCGGGTAGACTAACGTAGGCTACTCAACAATCCGGCGACGAGTAGGACAGAACGGCCATTCTAAATAGTGCTCAGGATTGCAGGAGATCAGTGGCAGGTGTGATGATTAGCACAGGTGCGTGGGCCAGAGGCAAGAGCAGAGACAGAGGAGAGAGAGCGAGGGAGGGAGAGAGAGCACAAAACAAAACAAAAATAAACATGTTGCCTAACACCGAACCAGCCAGTGAGACACGGGGGCCATGACAGAAAAGGAGTTTTTCCTTACCACTGCTGCCTTACCAAGTGCTTGCTCAAAGGCAGTCATCTGATTGTTGGGGTTTTCTCTATATTATTGTGGTGTCAATACCTTACAACATAAAATGCATTGAGGTGACTGTTGTGATTTGGTGCTGTATAAATAAAATTGAACTGAATGTACTTTTTTCTGCTAGGGGGAAATGCCTCCAGCATAGAGCCTGAAGATAACCAACAGATGTTCAATGAGACCTTTACCAGAGGTAATGAACAAACACTTCAACAGTTCACAGAAATTCAGTTTATACATTTTAAAATGTTTTTTTCTGCCACTGTATTGTTTAATCAAGTCATAGAATATAAGAAACTGAAGTGCTTCAAATAAAATTCTGCAAAAAAAATTTGGGGGCTGCAATTTATCAATATTTGTAATGAAGGGGAATTGTGAGATGAGTTAATGGGATATTATGAGAAGATAGTTGCATAAAATTATAGCTATATTGATAAGCAGGGTTTTGTCAAGGTGCAGCTTGGAAAAAGCAGGACTCAGGCACAGAATCTCTAAATGTAACAGTGAAATTTACTGTTTAATTTACTGTGAAATATTGCAACAACAGTTCAACACTAAGGCCTTTATAGAAATGACCACGGTTCAGTTTTTTTTCTTTTTAAGATCCCCTCTGGCAGCTTATGCAATCAGAATTATGATCTGAATGCACTGTTGTTCCAAACACATTTTGCTTTTCCAAGATCATCATATCATTGCTTTCGATCCCAACTTCATTATATACTGTATCAATAAAAAAATTAAAATATTTAAAGCATCGTCCTGGTTGTGGAACACTGGATCAGCATTTCATCCTCTCAAGGATACTTGAGGGTGCATGCGAGTTTGCCCAGCCAGTCTACATGTGTTTTGTGGACTTGGAGAAGGCATTTGACCGTGTCCCTCGGGGGGTCCTGTGGGGGGTGCTCCGGGAGTATGGGGTGTCTGGCCCATTGCTACGGGTCATTCAGTCCTTATACAACTGTTGCAAGAGCTTGATCCGCATAGCCGGCAGTAAGTCGGACTCGTTCCTGGTGGTTGATGGGCTCCGCCAGGGCTGCTCTTTGTCACCGATTCTGTTCATAATTTTTATGGATTATGATGCGCTTAAGATGAGCATGAAAGTTAGCGTTTTTATACCATTTTTATATTCATTGACAATGTGTCTTTATATCATTTCAGAAAATGAAGAGAATAGTACTAAAAGCTGCAGATATGTTGACATTATTAACCACCTGAACTTGACCCAAGACAAGGATATGTACATTATGACAAGGCCTGTGGAAAATTACAGTGATGCTACACCCGTATACCATATTATGGGAGTTAAAGCCATCTTAGATGTGGTAAGTTGTTCTGGCTAATGTTGCTGCCTTTCAAATAATGAATAGGTCATTGTTCTGGGTCTTTGACCCAATGTTTTGTGTTTTTTGGACTTCTGAATTCTGTTTTCCATGATTTGTTTTCAGTGTGACTATTAGTTTCCTTACTGTTTAGTTTTTTGACATTTATGTATTTTCTTTTTAATTAAACCTGACAGAATATTTGTTTCTTTTTCTTTTATCTGTAAACGTCCCCTTCTAAAACAAACAAACAAACAAACAAACAAACAAACAAATCATGAGCTTTTTCCACTGGAAAATGTTGTCGTCCACATTCAGTCAACATTGTAGTGTACTGCCTCCACTTTTGTTTATATGCTGTATCATAAAAGTAGATTCTGAAAATAACACACACAACGTGTTAAACTGTGCAACACATCAAGGGTGTTAAGCTTTTAAAACACTTTTTCAGTGTTTACACATTCTTACACATTTTTTTATTCCTATCTTTCATAACTTTTATTTGACTATTTTTGGGGACTTGCTCACCCTTCCTTCCCCACATGTGGAAAATCAACTTTGAAGCCTGGCTGAACTAACAATATGTTTGTTTTCTTTGCTCACAGAGGAAAACTGACCAGAGCCTTGTTTCTTACATTTGGGTTCAATATGTGAGTATTCTCTTGGAAATACACAATTTTCCGTTGTTGAAATTCAAATGTGTTATAATCATTTCTTTTAATCCTTTCTTTCTGTTTTTCTCTGCTTGTATCTTTTTCTTCTCTTTCACACCATCCTGTGTAGCATTGGTGGAATCAGTTCATATCTTGGAACCCAGATAATTTCTGTGGACTTGAAAATATAAAATTTCCTGCTGCAAATTTGTGGATGCCAGATATAACTATTGAAGAAAGGTAAATTTTATATGGAAACGCACCCACACTTACAGATGCACATATAGTCACTAATGATGAAGACTAAGTATATATTTTTTAATTTATCAAATGAATTGCAAACTGAAAAGGAATATAGCCAAGACAAGGTTAGAATTAACAACTGCTAACTTAAATATTGACATTGTGCTTTTAAACATCACTCTTATAAATCTCAGCCTCACAGAACCTTGATGTTCTAGCTGTCTGTCTGTTGAATATTATTTTGAAGTATTTTGCAGTGTGCTTTAGTAAAGTGCCTCCCAGTTGTCAGTTTCATAGGCATTAATGCACCTCCATACCACACGCAGGTGTTTTGAGTTGAGTGCTGACAACAACCCATCCTTGTTCTCTTTAGTCCAGAATATGCTGTGTCAATGATTTTAGAAAAAGAATATACAATTTCAATTTGTCTGACCACAGAACAATTTTCCAATTTGCCTCAGTCCTTTTCAAATAAGCATCGCCTAGACCTAACAGCATAAAGGAGGACAAGTAGGTGAGTTTTCTTACTTCCAGAAAAGCAGAGCCAGTGGCAGCTTAAAAATCAAAACGTGAAATGTGACCATGAGAACTTCGCAAGAAGTTCTCAACTTATGTAAACATTTACCACTAAGCCTCAGCACCCTTTTTTTTTAAAGCACATAAGGCGCTTGTCCATATGCAACAACAGCCTATTAAGTAACAAAATATCTGCATCTGAGTGGCCATCCTATCTGGAATACACTGTCAGATATCACATGAGAGTAAAGGAAGTCTGGTGGAATCAGTGTGACCCATGGTGAAAAAGGGGGATAAAGTGGAAGAGCTATTACAGTGAAGAGAGGGTGGAGCACTGCTAAGAGGAACAGTCATGACAGGAGCACATAGAGGCTGTTCCTCAGGTCTTCAAGGGACATGTGGGAGAATAGGAGGACAGAAAGACAAGGCTCCTGCCAAAGCAGTGAGGTATGGGTGTGATGTGAATGATGGGTACTCCTGAAGGCATGTGAAAAAGTGTGACCAGGTGGTTTGCATAAGCTGCTGGTGTACCTGATGTGGAGCAGGTCGCCACCAGACTGGTTCTGCATGCAAAATATTGCCAAAAGTATTCACTCTTCTGCCTTGACACACATGAACTTGAGTGACATCCCATTCTTAATCTATCCATAGTTTTCACCTGATGTCAAAGCTACTGGGACATGCCAACCTGGCAGGCAAAAACAGCACTGTGGTCCTTTGCCGTCTACTTGTTGAACTTGTTTGAGTTTAACGCCAGATAGTTGATGTAGTTTATGTGCTATCAGATGCACTAATTTGTGTTTATTTACAGCTGCCAGAAGGATGTAAAGTATGGCATCAACATATGAACACACCTCTCCTAACCCTGCCTTAGGCCAAATTGCACCATCCCTGCTCCTCCACAGTAACCCAGGCAGTTAGGGGTTTCTCATTTAAACTGTAGGAATGATTTACCTGGCGTTGAAAAAAATACTTGAATAACTTTACTTGCAATACACAACATCAATGTGACAAATTAATTCTGTGTGGACTTTCTGGCACTTTTCCACACTGCAAATGTCCAGGTCAACAAACTGTAAGATTTAATGTGTTTGAGCTAGTTATGTAGTGCTTACCTTTGCTTCAATGATGAACAAGTTCTTGTACTTCACCTGTTCCATGGTGGCATTGTTTACCCATCCAGATCGAAAATGTATATAACTGGAACTGAACTGGAGCTCTGCGAGAGAAGTCACCACTTTTAGGGATTTAAATAAAGCTGCTGGAACAGAATATGGATCACAAGTCTCCAAAATTCAGTTTCTCTTCAAATCTTTGTTTTTCCTCCATGGATAGACGAGCCAAGACAGATGAACAAACAACCACCTTTGTCCTACATTACTACCAACTGTCTATTTGTGGTCACAATGGAGTAATATTTTGCATGTCAGAGTAGTGAGTCTGATTGAAAACTATGGATAGAGTACAATATGACTGTAATAATGACACGTCAGACATGTCCACACATACATGCTTTTCAGCATCTTTATTAACACTTATCAAGTTTGCTGCTACAAACACGCTCAGTCAGCTGCAGCTCTGCAGCTCACAGCCCAACTCACATCAACAACTACACTGAAATCCAGGACCTAGAAACCTTTAACCCGGTGAGGTGTAATTGCGGATGCCCTGCAGGTGCGTTCACCTCCCCAGCAGCAGGACCGCTGACCACGCCCCACCACATACCTATCGCCCAACTGAGGCCGGGGAGCCATCCGGCCGAACCTGCTCCCCCCCGCGATCAGGAGAGGGGACTGGCCCAGACCGTCGGCACCCCCGGCCCCTGCCCATCAACACGAATGTGTTCATTCAGTGGTGGCAGTTACGAGGTTGGTCCGGGGGCCAATCATGTGGCCTCCGCCTCCAGCAGGAGAAGCCCCTTGCGCAGCTCCTCCACCTCTGGCAGACGTGGACCCTCCTCCGTCTCTGGCTGTGCAGGTTGCCGACATGGTGGCTGCTCCGTGGTCCTCTTTCGAGGAGCTGGGATGGGTTCAGGCACTTACCGAGCCCCAGCCACTCCCCCATAAGGAGTGGGAATGGGTGAGGGGACAGGCTGCATCCTGGCTGGTCGCATCCTGGGGGCCGGAAATGACCAGACCTTCTCCACTCCCATGCACATCAGTGGGGGTCGCCGTGGTGCTGACCAGGACTGGATCAGAGCCGCCAAATCCTTTGCATGCTGCACTCGACCTGGTCCTGCAGTTCTTCTCGCCAACACTGCAACACCACCACCTGCTCCTGCTGTGTGGCTGCCAGCTCGGCCACCATTTGGGCCAGCTCCTTCCCTTCCTAGCGATTTAGCTGTACAGGTGCTGTGGCGATTGTGAAGTGGAGACTATAGCTGCTGAGGGTGAACTACTGCTGAACCTTTGGATGGCCGACAAAACAGATCTTCCGATGTTTTCAGCTAAATCGCTGGACATGCTGGTAGGCAAGAAGTGAAGCAGCAATATTTAACACTTAGATTTAACATTTAAAATTTTGTTTTAAATATAAAAAGTTACAAATATTTTACTAAATGTTGTAAAAAAAAAAGACTGGAAAAAACATGTTTTTGTAAGGTTTTGAGCTAAATGTGGAGAAATGTTGCCGTTAATTTCAGCATGTTTCACTTTACAAATGGTGCCCCATAATCCTTGAACCTTCCCCCAGAGAGAGAAACTTTCACAACAGGATTGTCTACAGAAACATGATTTAAACATCCATAGCTTGGTTTCAGGGCACACATTAAGTGTACATGACTGCAAAGCAAATGTGTTAAATTTAGTTATGTGGTGGAGAGGAAAACTCATCGGAGCCTGAGCTCCCAGATGCTGCATTCACATTTCTCCCTGAAGTACAGACTGACTCTGGGTTAACACTTTAAGTCCTCACAACTCTCTGGTTGCTTTGGAACTAATCCTAGACTCGGAGGCAGCAAGTTCAGTCATGCAAAAAACAGAGTTAACAGCCTCAGAGGGGATTACTGTCTCTTTGGACTCTGCTAGTTGAAAAGCACAGTGGGTTTTGGAATGATATTCAGAACTCCCCATCTTCCCCCACTAGAAACAGTCTTGGACATTGAATCAACAGGGTTTTCAGTAGAGTCAGATGCCAAATTAACACAAACAGAAGCAAAAACATAATTGTTAACGGCAGAACTAGATCACAGCATCAGAGTTGACTGTCTCCTGATTGGTGATTTCAGTACTGGAGCTAAACAGTTCAGAAATATGACCCCTATTATTTTCAAGGGAACGAATTCAGTCTTTGAGTTCATAACATAATCACAATCGTCATTGCTGCTATCCTGACCAGGAACGCTGAAACCAGGCGAATCGTCCATGTTGAAAGCAGCCAACCCCTACTCACTCTCTTGATTCTACATCTAAGGGTCTGGAGTAAATATCAGAAATACTCACTACTAGACGGTTCGTGGACAACAACACCACCGGTGGCGTTAGGTGTGTTGCAGCAGGGACACATGGAAAAGTTTCAGGACACCAGCCCTCGATGATTGGAGTTTGAGACCCCTGCGCTACACTATATGTGCGTACCATATTTTGTGCCGTAATCTGTTTTCATTTGCTCTCATACAGGACAGACAAGGACAAAGAGACTAAAAGTCCTTATCTCTTAATTCAATGGTATGGTGGGGTCGAATACACATATGAGCAGGTGGTGACAACTGCCTGCAGGATGCGTGTCTACAAATTTCCCTTTGACATTCAAAGGTGCAACATCTCCTTCAAGTCTATCATGCATTCTGGTGAGTCAATATCAAGTTCTACTTACATGTGTTTTTCGTACTCTCATATATATAAACCATGAAATATCACAACACATAGTCCTTTGTTCATCTGCTCACATTTATTTTTCTATTCCATTTTAGATAATGAAATAGAATTAATTTACAACAAAAACAATAAATCATTGACAACTTTGACACGCAGCATGATGTGGACCCAGTACGAGTGGACATTCGAGGACTTGACACCCACAAACAAATCAAGCATTATGTATCCACATCAAACTGTAATTATTTACACGGTAAGTACTTCTTAACCTCTTAGGTCCTGGCGTCCACATATTGGGACATCACATTTTAGGTTTAGACCACAATACTAAATTTTGCAAAGATTTCCAAATAGCAAAGAGAAATTAAAAATGCATGCCATGAAAGGGTTTGGGTCTTAGGAGGTTAAAGCAGAAACACAGATGTGGAAATTGAGTCATTAGCCACATTTTAATAACATTTGTAATGAAAACAAAATTGCAGTTTGTTTTGAAAGGGTTTTAAAAACTCAGCAAAAAAGTTGTTTTCCTTGTGGTTTCGTTCCCCCTGAAGCATACACAGCATTTATTGGACAAGTACTAGATTTCTTTATCCTCCTAACCCTCTTTTAAGTACAATCTAAAAAGGCCTGCAGCCACTTACCACATCCTCAGCACATCATGGCTTATACTGTAAACTTGCTGTTCCATACAGAAGATTATCAAAGTTTACTCCTGCTATGCTGGAAAAAAAAACCACATCTGTATCCAATAAAACTTTAAAGCAAAGCATTTGTCCTTGTATTACAAACATTATTTTATGTTATTATAAGTTATTGGTCATATTTGATAAGTTCTTAGAGGAGACACAATTGCAGGCAGCAGAAGAAACCAACAACAGCTAAAAGGCAATAAGGAATTCTTTATTATTATCATTATTATCATTATATTTTATTGCACAGATCACGATGAGAAGGAGGTCAGTCCTCTACATTGCCAATTTCATTTCTCCAGTGCTCTTCTTCTTGGTTCTGGACTTGGCCTCTTTCCTGATCCCAGATGCTGGAGGCGAGAAACTCAGCTTCAAGGTCACTGTCCTGCTCGCTGTCACAGTGTTGCAGCTTATTCTGAATGACATTCTGCCCAGCACTTCAAAAAGGGTTCCACTTATAGGTAACAAAGTGGGGTTTATTTGACTGAATGCATTAATAAATTACATTACTGACATAGTCTGCTCTCCTCAGCTATCTACTGCATTGGGACTTTTACCCTGATGCTGCTCAGCCTCCTGGAGACTATTGTGATGATGTATCTGATTGAGAAAGACTCTGCATCCCATCACAATGAGACAGATGAAGAGCAAAACCTGAGTGTAAATTGTGGAGACAAATGGTGCAAAGCCAACTTCTGTGTTAGAGGTGAGATTATCTAAACTCATGAAAACAGGTTTATCTTTAGTTATGGTTAAAATACCCACACATTAACATTAGCATTTACATGCCATTTAAATCTATCATTTTAATTGTGTACCCTTAATCATTTTGTCTTATATCCTCCCAGGAATAAAATCCAGTGACTGTGCATCTGTTTGTGATGAAAGTGCCGATGAAACACAATCTGTGACTGAAAAGGTGAGACTTTAGCTACACTTTAAAGGGCTATTTATTTAAAGTGAAGTATAAAAATCATTGAGCTTGCATTTGAGAAATTACTTAGAGAAAGCGATCAAGATGTTTGTTTGTATATTAGTAGAAAACCCTTTTATTTCAGTCACAATAGAAACAAACCATTGTGTCAAATGTAGTAGCAGTCAGTGGCCTAAATTTGTTGATAACTTTCTTTAAAATGTAAAAACAAAACTTTTGCAGAGAAGCAGCGACAAGCTGACAGAGGTGTCCCTTGGTCTTGAACAAGTCTCAGATGAACTGAGAAAGATTGGGAAAACAATAAGTCTGCTCAGCAGTAACGAGAAGGAAGAGAAGTTCGGATACTGGGCCAGAATGGTAAAAAAAATCAACAGGGCTTACTTCATTTTTTATGTCACAGCAGTCACTGTATTTTTGTCAGTTCTTGTTTCAAGGTGGACCAGCTGAAGTAAAATAAAATATGAATTCATTAAAAGAGACAGAACTTATGTATTATTTATTTTTTTCATAAATGTCATTCATTTCAATCAGTCCGAAGAAAACAAATGTCCCATTGAGTACAGGTTGGTAAGGTGTTCACTTCTTATATTTAGTGATCTATTTAGCATCATCAGAAATACAGACCCACAGCTGAAGAAAAAAATCAGATATTTAACAGTGATTTCTGCTCCACTTTACTGTGGTGGTTTCAGAGCCCCAGCGTAACAAAAGCTGCAAGGAAATGACATTGTTATTTGTCGCATATTGTGTAGCATCAAAATTGTGAAATTCAGCATCAAAGGTTTGGTTTCAACCAGTTATGAGGTAAACTTGTGTAGTAGTCTTCATGACTATTTTCAGTGCTCCTTATCGCAATAGAAAAATTCCAACATTTAAAACATTATTAAAATGTACATTTATATTTAAGGTGGTGCAGTATGACAAATTATATCAGATGATGATATTAAACTGTCTATTGTTTTATATTATACTTAATTCTTCATTTTGTGCTGTGTAAAAACAGTAATGTGATCCTTTGCCCTCCAGCCGAACATCTTCGAGTTTAACTTAGTCAAAATGCCAGATAGTTGCTGTGCTATCAGATGCACTAACTAGCATTTATTTAAAGCTGTCACAAGAACATCAAGTTCAGCAACAGCATATGAGACACCCAGCTAACCCTGCCTTACAGCCCCTATCACACAAATCCCTGCTTTTACCTGACACTGAAAAAATACTTGATCAACTTTATGTTATGGCACAACATTAATGTGAAAATGAATACTACCGGAACATTTCTGGCTATACAATGTAAATGTCCAGGTCAGCAAAATGTAAGATTTATGTGTGGTAACTGTTTAAGCTAGCTATGTAGCATTTATCTTTGCTTTAAAGATAAGCTGTTTCTTTTTCTTTACTTCCCACATGGCGATATTATTTACCCATTATTTACAGATGGAAAATATATGTAGTCAGGGCTGGACTGATAATCTGTGATATCAGGCATTGTCCCGCAGGACCGGCACACTTTTTATACGTATATATCTGAATTTACAGAAAATGCACTATATTTAATGTATGCTTTTATTGCAATATGAGACCATATCACACAGCTTTATATTTCTACTCCTTAGCCTTTAAATGATTTTCTTGTAATTATGGTGGACCTCATGTCCAATTTAAATTACATTTATTCTTTGCTTTTTGCAGTCAAAAATAATGTTTCAATATATATTTAGGACATATATACATGTTTAATGTTCAGTAAGCTTCACCACAAGCCTCTCAGAACCTACAGCCCCTTTATGCACCTGCATGCTTTTGTTTAAATAATTATTGCACACTTTCTGTAAATCCAATCAACTTCATTTCACTTCTGAAATATCACTGTGTGTGTCTCCTATATGATATATTTAACTGACATTTTTTATTGTAACAACCAACGATTTATACAGGAAAATAATGATTATTAACAAGGTTGCCCAAACTTTGGCATCCCACTGTATTAGTAAACTTATATCTTAACATATAAGGAAATTAATGTATGCTTAATTATTTCTATTTCTTGCTTCTTGGCAACAAATCTTATACTGCTCAAAGCTTGTTTATGTCCCCTGAAATGGTCCCACATTTGTAAGTGGGTTGAGCAGCAGAGTTGGTTATGTGGATTATGTTCAAACTGGGAGCACAGACACTCCTAGAGTGGTTATCTTATGTCTGTTCCAAGCATTCCACATTTGACTGATTTGTCCTATGGCCTGTGCCATTCAAGTTGATGTTCTGCAAAGCCAAGTTGCAGTATTATTTGGAGTAAGCCCTACAGATTTGCAGTCAAAGTTTACAGGACGACATGGCTGACAGCTCTCTATCCAGACAATTTGAAAGACACTGCACACAGTCAATCTCCGATCTCGTAGGGATGGCAGGAGGCCTGCCATGACTGCCGTTCACCATCAGGTTTATCCAGTGTCTGCAACATGTGCACTGGAATTAGAGATGGACCGATCCGATATTACGTATCGGTATCGGTCCGACACTGACCTAAATTACTGGATCGGATATCGGAGAAAGATAAAAAATGTAATCCGATCCATTAAATATCACGAAAGCACCACACAAAACTTGCAACACGCCGTAACTCACCTCAGAACGTTAGCACATCGGAGCAGTATGCATCACGTGATAGAGCGGCTGTGGCATGCGGGACCTGTCGGTGGTCTGGATAGCATTTGGAGCTTCGCTAGCAACCCGGCATTTCATCTCCGACAAAGTTATCCCGAGAGAAGTAAAGCAAGTTTGTAAGTCCATCTCTGAATGTTTGTAAAGCATTCCTGCGTTAAGCTTAACAAGCGACTGCCTCTTCTTGCTGCTACTTCGATCATGAAACTGCTTAATGATCAGCTGATCGGCTTTTCTGTCGCGAGTCCGTGTCTCTAGTTTGCTTTTGGCCCACTTTGCACCAGAAAGAGGAAACCAGCGGCTGTACAACAGCAGCACGTTTAAGCTTGATCAGCTGTTGTTAGAATGTATTTAATATTAGTTTCTACTCGAGGATCTTTTTCTACGTAGCTGACGGCTGGTAACTGTGCAGGGGCGGATCTAGCAAAGTTTAGCCAGGGGGGCTGATAGGGCATTAACAGGGAAAAGGGGGCACAAAGACATATGTTAGAAGATTTTCTACATTATACATTATAACCAAATCTCTATAATACAATATAATCAAGTAAGCCTTATATTCTAACCAAGTATGCCTTATATTTTGTGTGTTCATATATTTTCACATAACCAAGCTTATTGTTGAAGAATTACCTAATCAAGTTTATTGTTAAAGGAAAACTGATACATTCCTTACCTAAGTGTCTGAAATGTTTGACAGCATGATATAATGATGCATTCTTTCCTATAGTGTCTGTGATGTCAGATAAAGCATGATATACTTCTGTATTTTTATCCCAGTGTGTGAAAGATCAGATAAGCTGATTTAATGTTTAACCTCTCGTCAACATCTGTTAAAAGAGGAAGTACTATGTAACCCATTTTTGCCTTATAAATAAAGCAAGTGAGCCTGTGCTCGGTGTGTGTGTCTTCTCAGAGAGACATTCACCCGTGCGCACGTTTTCTAATTACTCTCTGAGTCGGTCTGCAGTTGTCTCATTTCTCTTACTTGTGTTTTGAACAAATGTCTACCCCTGACAACATACTTTTCTTTCTTATTCTCATTTAAAATGTCTAGCTTTTAATAAATAATTATCTGACACCCAAAGTTTTAATTTGATGCAAAATGAATAGAAGTCCATTACTGTATATAGTGACTATTAAGTCTAATATATATACCCTAGTAAGCTATAGTACTTTTTCCTTTGGGAAGGTACCATCTGTGCAGTCTGCAATTTTGTTGAAGAAAGATGTTGAATCTATTTAATATTTCTTGAAAAATAATTGATTTCTGTGCATTTTTTTTCACACTGCATCAAATTAAGGTTGATTACGTCGATTAAGCATCATGAGGTGGAGCGTGAGGGGTGGGTCCCTATTTTTTATTTATTTATTTTTATTGTTGCTGGGAGTTGGAACCCTATTAGTTAGGTTGCTTAATATTTATGCTAAGTACTCTTTAAAATACCAGAATAGGGAGGATGGTGCAGGTTTAAGTTTATTAGATTGATCAGAATTGCTGAACTATGAAATATTTTTTTTGCATACAGGTATAACAGAATAGCTTTAGTGTAGTTGTTGTTTTAAACTTGAGTATGAACTTATACAAAATGCAGCAAGATATTTAAAAAACAGTTTTGTTGATTAAAAAACACTATATCGGATTCATATCGGTATCGGCAGATATCCAAATTTATGATATCGGTATCGGACATAAAAAAGTGGTATCGTGCCATCTCTAACTGGAATCTGAACATTTGGAAGAAAATTATGCTCAGCAATGATTCCAGGGTGGAGAAGTGTGGAGAAGATGTGGAAAATGGAGTAACAGCTTTTGGCGGAGACAGTGTGATGGTGTGGGGCAGCATCTTCCTCACTGAATAAACAAGGCTTGTCATCACCGGAGGCAATCTGAATGCAGAGAGATATCGAGATGAGGTTCTGCAACCAGTGGCGATGGCATATTTCCCCAATCTGGGACCAAACTGATGACAGTGCTCGCCTCTGAAGAGCACGGCTATCAGAGGCTACCTCCAGAATTTGGGAGTGGTGATGATAGAAAGGACTGCCTGAAGTCCTGACCTAATACCTATTGAACACGTATGGGATCAGCTTGGGCATGCTGTTCTTTCCAAAATCACCAACTGTGGCTGTACATGGCTCTCATGTTACTGAGCCCCCCATTTGATAAATTAATGAATTATTAAATTGCCAGTATGTCTTGTTTCTCCAGACTTCAATCAGACAATCCAATAAACAACACCAAACATAGAGTCAATAGCAGAATAAACTGTTTTGGCATTGGTAGAGAGAATTTTGGTGAGTTTGTAATGGGCACAACCCAAATACTAGACTTTACAGCTCAATCCAAATCCAAATGCATTTTCCTTACAAACATGGCACCATTTAAGGGGAAACAAACAGGCTTTCCTAGAGTATAAGATTTATCACCAACAGGAACTGTTACAACAGGCCTCTGGAACACCAGAGGTCGCAATACATTGTGTCCTCGCTCAGACCCTCTCTGGTGGTTCAGCAGGCCTCGAGATCTCCAGGATCCTCGCCCCTCCTGTGGTCGCTGAGATCTTCTGCAAAGGAAACAAAACACCTTGTCCTGCATCTCCCTAACTTATCCTTTTTGGGACTCTGTATTCAAAAGCCTGATCCTAATTATGTTCTTAACTTATTGACTTATATTTATATATATTCTTCAACATTACTCATCCCTTTAAAACTCTTTAAGCCCTGCTTTCACGTCCGGTTGCTCGCTCTATTTTTCCCTTATCTGATCATCAACATCCTGTGCACAAATTGTCGCTGCTGCAAGTTCCTCTACTCTAAAAGATCCAAAAGAAAACAACCACTTTAATCAATTAAGTTTAAGCATATAAGCAATTACTCCTGCCTAAATTTCATCATAGCTAAATGCTGCCTAAAAACAACTCCTATGTGTTAACTTCATTTTAACCTCACATTTCCTATGTTATAATCCGTTTTTTGGTATAGCCTTTTAATTTCATTTGCTCCCTTTAATGTAACAATACCTCCTAAT